GTAGAGCTACTTGAATAACTTGGTTTTTGTAGATTAGTCCGCCTAAGTAGGACTGTTTTTTTAACGTACAAGATAACACAAAGAATGTCTAAAAAAACGTTATTTTTATTACTTTAAAAACTCGCATACTTATTAAACCATTGAATTAATAAGCTCTGTATGCAACAAGGAGTCTTCTTTCCATAGATGATGTAAGTAGTGGTTTTATGTTAATTTGGGAGATTTACTTAGGACACAATAATATTTTAATTGCTTTTTTTTTTCTGTCTTTGTCAGGAAATTAAACAAACTTTCTGTTTTAGTAATCAGGGTAGTTCAGTTCTTTAAAATTGTACATCAAGAGCACTTATATTGACTACAGTAAACATTACTTTCTGACCTTGACAACCTGAGTATAATCACATTTATGTGAGTGAAAACATAATGTATGACAGAAAACCAATGACATCACACTGTTTAGAAAAGTTTGAAAGATAATATTTGAAGAGCATAAATTTGTGATAATTCTAGCAGTCAAGTGTCAATAATACGTAGTATAACAACCTCCATTTGATTCATTATCTTAACTAATTCATAGAAGTGTGTTACATCTCCGTGCTATACAAAAACGTATACCATTGGAAAATCTCTCATACACTAAAAGTATATTTACATTGTTAATGTACAGTTAACTGTACTTTGTTAGAACAATACCTTGTCTTTTAAAACTTGGGCCAGGAGTGGCCTAGTGGTTAGCAGACTGAAATATGAATTTTAAGGTCCATGGTATTTGCATTCTATTTGTGCAAAATCTTGCTTCACGCTTTAGGACTGTGTGTGTGTGTGTGGTCTAAGAGTGATGGCAAATTCTACTATTTGATTAGTTGGCAGAGGGTGTTGTTTACTTGTTTCCCCTCTAGGCTATCAGTCAAAACTAGAGAAAGCTATTGCAGATAGCTTTTGTGTAATTTTGAGTGAGGAACCAAAATAAACTTTTTTGTGTTTTATATACTTGTAAAAATAGCACTTTTCCAACCTTCAAACTCTATCCAAGTTCATTTTATCATAAATGCTTTTATATAGTTATTATATTACATGACATTGAACCTTGACCTGTTTTGATTGAGCACAACAATAGTAGTTCATCTTATAGTTTCTAAAAACTTTCTAAAATAATCTATGGTTAAATCAAATTGCATGACGTGGCAGTAACCCTCTGTCAATACTACTTATAATTGTAAGGTTTAAAATGACTAAATTTTCTGACAATTTTGCTGGTATACATCAGTCTCTCTTCCTCGTCTAGTAGAAGTTTATAAAAGTACTTAAAACTGTTAGTTAAGATACTCTGTGAGTGACCAACGTGGGTTAATGAGAGTGGACATAGCTTTAACATACAAATCCCAATAGGTCATGTATGCGTTTTGTTAACAAATGTGAATTATTGGAATTCTATACCAACAGTTAGATTTACTGTTTATCCAAATAGGTTACTTTTATAAGACAAATACGTTTCAGTATTTTTTCAACTGAACTGGGAGGTTGTGGTAAATATATTTTATAATTTATTATTATTTGTGAAATAACGTGGTGTACTCGGAACCTGTGTAACGTCCTTGAAGCATCACGGTATATGTGAAGTGTTGAAAGTTGCAAATAAGTAGTGTGTTGCATTCTTAAGAATATGTATGCATATTTCGTGACAAAACAAAATAAAAGTATATATCTGATTCAGTAACATAATTCTTGCAATTAATCAAAATGTTATTTAATGAAATTGGGATCATATGTCTGAAACGTTGGCTAAAAAATCATATATAAGGCTAACAATTAAAGCCGACCAAGGTACAAAAAAAAATTCGAAATCGACCAATCACGTGTAAAGTTAACAATTGAAGTCGACCAAGGTACAAAAAACTAAGTCAACTAATCACATGTAAGGCTAACGACTGAAGCCAACCAAGGTATAACAAAAAAAACACGAAAATTTTAGACCTGACGTGAAAAACATATAGAAAGGTGATATTAATATTGTTACGCCTCCAGTCGTTAATTGATTTTCCGTAACTTCGTTCCAACGAAACTTTAGCGACACAAGTCCTTACTTA